CACAATGCCCCTCTAAACATACTCAACAATTGTGAACAAATTTCAAGCCCTACTTACAAGCAGAATCACTTGCGCTCCTAACTTGCTTGAATCATCCTGTTCATTACCAGTTCCAGCCGAGTCACGAAACCTGCTCGAATCACCACGAACACTTCCAACTCCACCTGAGTCGTCAAACCTACTTGAATCACCATAAGCAACATGATCAACAAAATCACAACTAACTCCACCCGAGCTACTGGGAAGTTCAATAACATTGCTCGATTCACCATGAGCAACTCGATCACAACCAATTTTGCCTGAGTTATTGCTTATCGAACCATAAGCTGCAACTGCATCCAAATTGATCGTCGAACCTTCCAAGTTATATAATCGATCCTTACATTGTTTCTCCTCCAACATCCAAACAAAAAATTAGCCATAACAAAAAATCTTATTGCGATCCAAAAGAGGAATCTCAAATTTCATAATTACCATCCCTAGAACTATTGATCTTGTTCAAATCTAGCTTTAATAACCAATATGTACCTCCCAAGAAATCGTAAAACAAAAACATTGGCTTCAATACCACTTGTTATGAACAAACCAAGATACTAGAATCGCTCTGATATCATTTATTGAGAATTTGGCCAAATAATGAAAGACGAGAATAATATAAGTATTATGAAAAATAATGAATCACAAAGAAAAGAAGATTTACGTGAAAACCCAAATTCGAGAAAATCATGGACAAATGCAGAGAATTCACTATAATCAATAGTAAGCAGTTATAAAAGATCTCTTTGAACCAATAACTAATTGGACAATTCTAATATGTGTTGTATACAAGAATTTGGGTCACAACCCAAATCTGATACCACTTGTTAGAAACAACCAAGATATCATAATCACTTTAATACCAATTTGTTGAAATCGGGCCAAATAATGAAGACGAAAATAATATGAACAATATGAAAATCATAGATCATAAAGAAAACAAGATTTGAGTGGAACCCCAAATCCAGGAAAATCATGGGCAAAGGCGGATAATTCGCTATAATCAATAGCAAAGGAGTATAAGGGATCTTCCTGGACCAAACTAATAAGTTGGACAATTATTCAATTCCAATATGTATGATAAACCACATATTTATAATAAAAAATTCTTAACATATTAGGAAAATTAATACATGAAGAGTTTAATATAAGGTGAACTCCAACACATTAAGTAACATCAATAAAGAAGAATTTATGATAAAATAGGAGTCAAATTTACTTTGGACTCCTTCAAGACATTTTCAAATCAATTACCAACTCCCAATACCCTTTCAACAGTATTTTCAATCAAATACTCAACAAGAATTCGAGTCACAGTCCAATTCCAGCAGTATCAATATAAACAACTTCCTAATGTGCTTTATATTATGACTAGGATACATGAATGTACTCCTTTAGCTTTTACATTGTATTCTTCGTCCCCTACCAGAAAAGTTTTACTTCTATTGTACCTTATAGTTCGAGTCGAGTCTTTTCCTAATTTTCTATTATTGATGAAACATGTCATTTAGCGGGGTTTAATTAAAAATTAATAAAGAAGGGAAAAAAGGAACAAGGAGGGGTTGCGGGGTATGATCTTGACTTTTCTCTTCACATTTTCATTTGTTAGCAAAACCTAGCCAGCTAGTTTTGTCGGCATATATATATAGTGGTTTGCCAATTTTATCAGTATTTAGACTAATGGGAGATCAAAATAATTGAAAGTTGTGTGTTCCAGCCTTCAAATCCCTCTTAAATCTTACCAACCTTGTAAGATTCAATAAAGCTACTCAAACAGGGAAATCAGACAGGATTTAAAAACAGACACACGTGACGGCTCCGAACTCGTGGCTTGTTGTGTTAAATTTTTCCATCCCCCAATGTTTTGTTGCCAAGTGTATCTGGATGCAAATCCTTGTTTTTTGGCCCTGTTGCTCTAGCATTGTTCTTGTAAGATTAATCTAGTAAGAGCAAAAGCATCCTATTTGGGAGCATGTTTTGCGTATAGTATATATTTTTAAATAAAATAATTTTGGATTTTTTAAAATAATGCCACTGTTCATTTCTGTCAATAAAACTAGAGCGAATGCTAGTTATAATTTTTCGAACGTAAGTATTGAACAATGAAGGAACTTTTAGGGATGTTATTTTGGCCGATAGATGTATTTAAATAAGGGTGTGTATACCTTAGAAATAATGTCCCATTTACAATTTTATATTTTTGTAATCACCGCACTTTTATGCATTAGTTGAAAAAAAAACTCATATTGAATTGCTATGTTCGAGTGTGTTTGAGTCACATTATTTTAGAAGAATGTATTTTAGAATAGTAGATTGATGGAGAATGTGTGATTGAAAAAGAAAGAAAAATTATTGATGTGATGGAAAATATTATTTTATAGAAAAATATGTGGTTGCAAATGAGTATAAGAATAAAAATGAAAATTTTAATATTGCTCAAACATGGGCGAAATCTGCAACCTCGAAATCATGCATCATTTTGAAAAGTTTAGCGGCTAAAACTCGATCAACTTAAAGTATAGTGAGTAATCAAAGACGAGTGCTAAAGTATAGTGAGCAATGAAACATGACTTACTTACGTGGACTTTTCCTTCTTCATGATTAGGCATTCAAACGTTGATGGGGCACCTCATGTGAAAATCTTGAATTTAATTCATTATTGTCCCATTTATAATTAGTTTTGATTTCGTTAGTTAAACTTCAGCCGACGATGAAAAATATTGTTCATCATGTGAAGATTGGTGCATTTCTCATGTCGATTTCGTGAATAGTGAATTTTTGAATCAATGAAAAACTTTGTTTGAATAGTGTTTATAAACAGTTCAAATGACAAATAGATAAAATCAGTAAATATTTCAAATAAGTAGTCTTTTCGAGTCCCTCAAAATATGTGGATAAAATGTGATCTGAATGTTTATAAACAATTTATAACTATGAGCAATACATATGCTTATTTAACTTACGTATGAAATTATTTACCGTTATTGAACTCCTATTGAAATTTAATTGAGTCATTCAAGTCAATTATATTTTACATTAATTATCACATAGCATGGCAATATGATTATCGACTACGTAGGTTAATTTTGTCATTAAGGTGCTAAATTGGAGCATGGTCACAAAATATTGGTCTCTTGGTCGTACCAACAAAGGTATACAAGTTGGGAGTACACGGCACGTAAGTTAATGATAGGCGGATAGATTAATGAAGGAAAATGCTATAATCTCTTTCATCTGTTTGACCTGTAATCTAAAGGTAGTTTAGTAATTAAAGGAGTAATTGATTGGACTTTACACTTAAAAGTTGCAAGAAATTCAATATTTGAAATCTCTAAAGTCCAATACATTTTCAAGCAACTAGGAGAAGAAAAAGTTTTCATTTTCGATTGAGATGCTTGATCCATCTTGACCTTATTATACAACGAATAAAACGATCAAGTGCATAAGTTGTGAGTAGTCGAGGTGGAAAATATATGACTCGTTTTTACATCATGAGTTATAATTCGTTTGTCGTATTAATATGCCTACCCGAATAATAATAAACCATAATAATAGAGGAAAAATCAAAATTGTGTTTAAAAGATATTTTTAAATTGGACCTTGCTACTTGTACCCTCTTGTTTACACTTTGGTTTACTCGGTCTCACCCATCCTCTCACATAGAGGTCGGTCCCCACGCACTTATTGGACGTGGGACCCGACCCCCATGTGAGAGGGCATGTGGGGTCGGGTAAACAATAAGGTACAAATAGTTTAATTCTTTTAAATTATAAAGGTGAGCAATATGATCAATGATGACAGGGTTAAATTAACAAGGATAGTGGACTCTTGTTTGATGGTCATTATTTCTGAAAAAAATAAAGTTTTGAATGTTGAATTTTTAGAGAATTTGTGATTAAAAAGTTTTTAAAAAAAATTTGAGTTTACGTGCAAAATTTTTTATTATATAAATATGTAATTGAAATTGAGTATGAAAATTAAAGAGTTTTGAAATAATGATTGTCAAGCATGGACTTAATGAGCTATTGACCAACTTTTCTAAATTCTGTAAACATTTGTTTGATGTAAAAAAAAAAATTTAGATTTTAATTTAAATTAAAGTGAATAATTAATTTTAACCACACATTTCATAAGTTTCACAATTTTTTGATTATACCTTTTAACAATTTTTTTAACAACTTCTATCAAAATAACTTATCAAAATAAACAAAGAAATATAATTAGTGGCTTGTTTGATGCACATAAATGAGTTGAGAATGCATTTTAAAAAGTGATTTCATGGAAAATATTTAATTAAAAAATACGAAAAAATTTTAAATTTACGTGAAATATTAATTTATTAAAGAATGTGTAATTAGAAATGAATTTTTGTAAGATAAAGGTTTCGATGTACAGTACTGCTGGCAAATATTATCATTATTTAAATGAAATGTAAATATTCCTCGGAATTTTATGATCATGACGACGTTAGCGTATTCACAAGATTCTAGAGAGAGAATGGAGAAGAGTCAAAGCAGCTGCAGAAATGGCTCAGCATACAGTTGGTATTTGTAATGGTAATCATTTCGGGGTTACAGGTGAAGATTAGAAGCTCGTGACCAGATTTTTCTTTTTCTTTTGCAGCATTCAAATAAGAAACAGAACAGTACCTTAGCTAAATCATCAGTACCCATCTTGAGGAATTTGCAGACACCCTCTTCATCTCTCTCTGTCTCTCTCTTGCTTTTCTGTTTTGTCTTCATCGCCTATAGATTCTGTAGCTAAAAACCTAACGTCTTTAACGGGTTTTGCCTAAAAAAAAAAAAAGAAAAAAGAATTCTCTTCAAAGCTCAACATAAGGGTTTCTTGTTTTTGTTGGAGCTATATATAGAAAACCCCTCAACGTTTTTGTTGGAGCTATATTTTGAGAGGACCCTCTGGGATTTTATTTAATTTTTCTTTGTTTTTGTAACCAAGATTGAAGAATGGGTAGTTGTGGAAGGAACAGTGGGGTGAGGCAATACATAAGATCAAAGGTGCCTAGATTAAGATGGACTCCTGATCTTCATCACTGTTTTGTTCATGCCATAGAGAGACTTGGAGGCCAGGACAGTATGTTTTTATTTTTTGGCTTTATTTGTTTATATTCTAGCAGGGATTTTTGTCAAGTTTTGTTTTGTTATTCAGGTCTTTGATTTCTTTTCAACTGATTGTTCTAGATCATGGTGTGCTTTTTCTTGTAAACCCATGTGCATGGTCTTTGATTTCTTTTCAACTGATTGTTCTTGATCATGGTGTGCTTTTTCTTGTAAACCCATGTGCATGTGTCTGCATGTAAGAGGATTCACATTCTAATGTTAAAAAGTTATCATTTGGTCTTTGACTTGATTCTTTTTTTTCTTCTGATGCACAGAGGCAACTCCAAAGCTTGTTCTTCAGTTGATGAATGTTAGAGGACTTACCATTTCTCATGTTAAAAGTCATCTACAGGTTGGTTTATCTTCCATTTTACAATTCATTTTCTTTTCTTCTCACCATTTTGGGTTTCTTCATTTCTGGGTTTCTCTCTCTGTTGTTGAACAGATGTACAGAGGCATGAGGTCTGATATGAGCAAACAAGGTACATATTCATAGTATTTTCTTTTCTACGCTCAACCATTAATCGTTCTCAAATGAGTCGCCATTTGATGGGGGAGGTGGGCATTTCAAGGGATAAATGTCACATTTTATAGATTTTTATGGAGGAGTTTGGGAACTGATGATTAATTTCCTCTATTAGTACAGATCCATGTCCATTGTCGACGTTTATGACAGTATCTTTTGATATCTTTTAGAAATGAGTGGATATATCTCGCTTCATTTATTACTTATTTCCCGATAAAGTTGCTTTCCATAAGCATGAGAACGAACCAACATTTCCTCAAATTCTTCTAATTTTGGCATTTCTAATGAAAAACACTGCCATTCTACAGCTTCCTAAGTCATTTAACCAAATATTTTTTCTTCAAATGTAGATAGAAGCAGCAGTACACGGCAAAAGAATAAGTTTCTTGAAGATCTTCATCAAGAAGGATGTGTAGAACAAGAAAATCCCATAGAAATATCAGATTCAATGTTCATTTACTCTCCTCTACCTGTAAAAAGGTGAGCCTTTTTTAAAATTTTACAGCCTCAGCCTTAATTAGGCTCACATCTCAAAAAGGGTTGTAGCAAGAAACCAAAAGGATTTGCTTTATCTTTTATAAATTGTTTATTTTATGCATGAATAATCCTGATGTTCATTTTTTTTTTTTAGCGATAAATGTAAAATTTTATAGATCAAATTCCTGATATTATTTTTGCTTTCATATATTCTGGTCAGAGCTCGAATCGAGAGGATTAGTTCTTTCTCAGAGAAGCAAATACGTGAGTCGGTCTCCGATCCGTACTGTGATGATGATTACATGCAGACTAGCGCTGATAAAGGTGTTAAAGAAGAGAGTAAGTTCAAATGGCAGATTCAAGAAAAACCTCCAATTTGCACTACGACTCCATTCTCCATGCTACAGCAGGATTTCTTACACAACCTCAATCCTTTTGCCATCGCAGGTTCACTAGCAGAATCTGAGTTTTTCAAGGTACAATAACTACACTTTTTTCTGTTTTGCCTCTTCCATTCTCTCTCTCTCCCCCCATGCCATGCACTTTGGAGAAATTAAAAAAAAAAAAAAAATCTTATCCTCATGACTCATAATTAAAGAGTCCACTACTTCCTTTTGTACAATCGAATGACCCAAGATGGAAACACAGAATGAGTTTCTTCTTGGAACCAGAAGCCATGTTTTCAGATACTTTAAAATATCATAAAACAATACGTGCTTACCACAAAAAGTTGTACAAGTTGGTGAGAAATGATTGAAAAGTGAGGCAGTGAGGTTTGAAATCTTATGCCCTATAATTCTACCCTTGTTGCAAGGCTGGACTACGAAAAAAGTAGGATTACAGTTCCTGTGCATGAATGTGGAATTTAATGTGTAATTAATCTTTGTACCTAATCTTTTCCGAGTGTAATTTGACTAACAATTCTTTGTAGAAACTTTTCATGGGTTGACTAGTAAACAATGCAGTTTTGAGTCCATTATATTATTGTATCTGTGAATTTAATATTTGAGACAACATCATTTTTTTTTACTTGTTTGGCACGTGTGTACATCAATCCGCTGTCATCGGATAAGAATAATTGCTTTGTGGCACGTACAGCAGTACCGTGTGTCCACATTCAAATTCAATAATCCATCAATGGAGGAAATATCTCACATGTTGAACTGTGGGTTTGCTTCTTGGGGGGAATTTTCAGCATTCATAATGAGACATTTAATGCAATGGAATAGCGTGTACAAGTTTGGGACAGTGCCTTAATAGTATTGGGACCACCACCTTTAAATTTATTTGGTTTGATAAATTAATTCTCGTTCTTCTAGTATTGTTAAGACAACATTAAGATTTGGAACACTCTTTGGTTTGATAAATTAATTCTCGTTCTTCTAGTATTGTTAAGACAACATTAAGATTTGGAACACTCGAGATATATGATGACTCACTAACACCTCTTATTGTTTGTTAGGTGGTTCCGAACCAAGAGAAGGACCATTGTGAATCATTTGAGCAAATGAAACTCGAGAGCTTAGGGCATATTCACACAGCAGGTGATGAGATTGAGGGTTGTGAATTGTCATTGTCCCTCTCATTGCAGAAAAGCAACGGTTATTCCACTAGTGAAATCGTGAGTGAGGCAGTATCGTCGACCTTCACCAGTAGGTCGAACATTAATCAGCACGCTTCTTCGCAAAATCATAATGTTAATCTAGACCTCTCTATTGCTCTCTGTGGTGCTTGATCTTGCAGAGAAGGATTTTGTATTCAGCTTTTATTTTCTATATTATATTTCGATAGACTACCATTGTTTCTATACCCAATGTTTAGGCTTGTCTAATATATCCTTGCATGGTCTTAGTTCATCGTTTGATTACAAACTATTTTGGGTAGTTAGTTTACTAAACATTAGCTTCCTTAAAAGTAGATTTAGGTCCCGGAATGTCCAAAAGATATTGGTTTCTCAACGTCGTAATGCGAGATTGAAATGGATTGAGTCAACATAAGATTTTTTAATGGTTCGTCTGGCTTTGTCTTGTTCAATATAGGAAACTTACAAAGCACGCTCTTAAAATTTCAACGTCGTAGACTTTGAAATTTCATGGCAAACAACTAAGAAAGGAGAAGGAAGAAAGTCTTTTCCAATTTCAACAACTCTGGACAAAGTCCAAATTATTGAAACAGAGATGAACAAATCAAAATAAATTTAGCAATGCAAAACTGTTGACATGGTACAAGTGTACCATAATTAGTATTGACATTAATCATAGAAAAATCAAATCAAGAATATACAGTACGATGCTTGGATTTACCTACAAGTCATTGTCAGCACTTAAATTATTCGCGTGATTTGAAAAGTCAAATGGTTAGTTCGATAGACACAAATAAAGGTGAATCTGTATGTTCTAGAATGTACAGTGTATATCAATCTGTTTTATTCAGCTTCTGTTATATAAAAACTATTTTCACAAAATAATAAAATATTTTTATATGTGAACTTAAAATTTTTTTCCTTTTTTTAATTACGTATCCTTCAAAAAAGTTATTTTTCACAAAATATATTCTAAATAAATTCTAAAATCGAACCTGCCTTCAATTTTACTCAAATTAATTTCTTTAATCTACTTTAAAGAAAATAAAAATAAAGTTAAAGAAGGATAAAAAGGAAATAAGGGAAGCTAATGGTTTGTTCTCTTTGCTGTTTTCAGGTCATTTTTAATTTTCAAAAACACTGAAAATATGTTTACTTACCTATTTTCAAAAACGAGTTTAAAATTTACAAAAAAAAAAGCAAAATGCCAAAAAAGTAGTTTTGACCGTTTTCAGTTAAAACCAAGCCAAAACTTATAATGTTTGTACAAGCAAATAAGAAAGAGAGAGAGGAAAATCTTTGTACTAAAATCATGAGAGGAAAATATTTATAGTAGAAATAAATAAATAAAATCTAAGAAAGAGATTGTATTTTATCAAAAGTTGGAGGACTTTGTGCTATAATTACACTACCAAGGCAAATCATGGAGCTCTGTCTCCATTTTCATAGATTCTTCAGAAAGTCCCAAAAACTTTCCAACTGGTCTAGCTATAATTACACTACCAAGGCAAATCATGGAGCTCTTGTCTCCATTTTAATAGATTCTTCAGAAGGTCCCAAAAACTTTCCAACTGGTCTTTCCCAAACGGAGTTGTTAAATTAACATCGAGGTGCGATCAAGTTCTAACTCAAGTGGTAAGAATGAAATTTCAAGTATGCTACACTAATAAACTCAATGACAAGTTAAAAGAAGGGAGGACACGTGTTAACATATGATTGAAAAGTTTGAAAAAAATAAAAATCCAAACAGGCACTGCCAAGTCGGTCTGTCCACCTTCGACATGTTTTTAAGTATGTTCAAGCATCATTATTCATGAAATTTTACCATGTCCATTACCTAACTTGAGTCTTATTAGATCACAATGAAGTTCAAAAATAAATAAATAAATTTAAACCCAAGAAGACAATCCTAAATTTATGAAGCAAATGACCATGTATGAACGTAAAGGTTGTAAAACAAATTTGCCTTTCCCATGCAAATAATTATGCTTAGCAATTAATTCAATAAATAAAATTTAATTTAATTTAAGATTTATCTGAAGAAATCAGAAAATAATTCGAACCCTGAGTGATTTCATGATATATCCTCATTGATCGTGTGTAAAGCTTTAAAGTCGACGTCAGAGTATTCAACAAACTACATCTTTCATATTTATTGTTTTTATTACGAAGATCTTTCATTTTCAATCACATATTCAAAACTACATCTTAAACGATCATAATACATTTGAACTAATAATCTCTGATAAAGAATCAAAACACCAAGAAGTTTTTTCAGAATAAACAATGTAAAACAGAAGTCAAATGGACAATCACCATGTCAGATTTAATATTTATTAGGAACTGGATTACCAGATGAAACACATTGCAGTTAGTATCATGTTTACATAACACCAAAACAATTTCAAATAAGTCCTCCATGACTGCCACTCCCCACAGTTTAGCTTTTTCCTGGAGAGAAGAAACAGCGAGTACTTCAATAAAGGAACCAAATAGGGATTCCACGACAAAATAAGAAAGCAAGGGAATGGCTACGGGCATAAATTATCAGCAAGTGAATTATATCAATAATATCAACAAAATTTCCTTTGCTGTTGTAACTACATTTGTACAGAAAGCCTAAACATAGAAGAGCCAACTTGCTAGCTTCCCTTAAGTTTCAAATCCTGAATAGCTCAAAGATATGTAGCAATCATAGATGCATGCCAGGTTTCTAGATTCTTGTGGAAAATGAATAATCAGAAACTGAAATTTGCAAACGTCAGAACTACCTGGATTTTGCAATTGTTCCAGAACCATATTTCTGAAGTACACAGGTTGTCGAGTTCAATTTTTTTTCACACAAAGCTAATCCATAGAGAAGGGCAACAAAATCTAACTAGATTATTTTTGGCACTTGACAAAGAGGAGGCACTACCAAAATATAATTAGTAAGAAGATAGGCAGAAAATAAAAGTACAACACGATTTGGAAATTGAACTTGTAATAATTAAGCAAAATCAAATCCCTTATAAGGAAAATACATGTACAGTATCCATATAGATGAGCACCTAATATGGTAATACAGATGATAAGATATAAAAAATATTCTGAAGAGTGAAACTCAGGTCTCTAGTGCACTTGAGTCCCCAGTAAAGAGGATGTATTATAGCCTTGTCATGCCACAAAGGAAAGAGACTGATTCTACAAGTAAATGAGTGAGGCATCATCTCTTCGATCAGAGGCCTAAGGTTTTTCTTATACAGGATATGAAATTTTAAAAGCTACAACTCTCTATTTAGGTTTAAGCAATTCGCTTCCCTAAGAAAGCTTTTCACTCAATACAAGGTATAAACTGACCACTCAAAACCTATAAACATTGAGGATATACAGTACACGGCAGTGTCCCAAAGCTGAACATGCAACCTGATAGCCCCCATTTTGAAGAATTTATAAATTTTGGAATAGTGATTGATATGAGAATGTGTAGTTGAAAAATAATGAAAAGTTTTAGATTTATGTGTAATATTATTTTATTTGGACAATGTGTGGTTAAAATTAAGAAAGAGAAATTTTTTTAAAATTTTAATGGTGGCCGAACAAGGGGATAATCTTCAAAACCAATTCTATACTGTATTAAGATACCCTTTCTGACTGAAAGAAAAAGGATACTATGAAGCACGCAGCTCGTATGACCGGGTCAGCATGTCTGACACACAATCATGGCCTTTCATCCGGTAGTGTACGGTGAAAGGGATAAATTACAAGGTAATGTGTAGCAATAAATAAGAAGATTCATGGGAATTTCCATTAATCACCATTTGGTTGGTCACATGTACATGTTAAGCAAGAATTAATATAGCTAAAAGATTGCAAATCCAGAATTATTTTTGGCTAGACTCTGAGTTTGGAAGCAAAGGAGAGAGAAACTAGAGTTATGAGACATGTCTGAGTTTCAACCGCCCTTGTGGATTTCAATGGATAAGTAGTTTAAGGGCATTCATTTCTACTTAATTATCTGTAGTTGGCAAATGTATTTTGTTCTTGACTTTACTATATCTATTTGAAGACAAAGATTTATTATCCACTTGGCAGTTATAGATATGCTTCAATAACTGATAAAGTTATGTTTATTATCAAAACAGAAAGTGGAAGAGTTTCTTAGGTCAGACATGGTCTTTTGACTCTGGAAATTGATGGGAGTTCTTCGGAACCTAACATCAACAATAGTTTTAAACCTCAGGCGAGAAACTCACAGATCATTTGAGGTGTTTTTGACAAAGCATGAAGGCCATATTAAAGGACTAGAGACATACGAAAGGGGTCTTTGGAGGTACGATCTCAGGCTTCATGCATCTAAAATTGGCCCAAAAATGATCTGTAAAGTCTGAAGTAGACTTCATAACCAAATCCTACACCAGAATAAGACCAAAGAGAAGATTTGTTAATCTAGTTTGTGTCGTGTGTGTATATATATGATATATACAAACATAAGTCTGGAGGTAAACATACACCAAAATAAAAACACATATCGAAGCAAATTCGATCCAACAGACTTTATTCTTCACATCCATACTTGACTGGTGACTATGATTAAAGATGATCTAAAGAGGGAATGCTTTTATAATTTGAAATGAAATTCTATATTCTATAGACACTATAGTGTAGTGTATTGAATTCCTATGGACATAAAGTTTCTATTATGTGGGCATGCTTAGCTAGCTCAGAGGTTAGAGCATCGCATTTGTAATGCAATGGTCATCGGTTCGATTCCAATCATGGTTTAAAAAGGCGGTAGTGAGTGCATGTAATATGCCTTGAGGCGTTATTTTTTAGGCTAAAAATATGAGGCTTGCGCCTCTAAATCTGAGGCGCACGCCTCATGGAGCATGAGGGGCTTGCGCCTCTAAATCTGAGGAGCACGCCTCATGGAGCATGAGGAGTGCGCCTTATTTAAAATTTGATTTTTCAATTGTATGAAAAGAAATCAGAAAGGACCCTTCTTAAAAAAGAAAAAGCCCATTTAAAAAGGCATTTTGGGCCCAAACAAAACAATAAAATACCTATAAAACTAAACGGCAGCCAGAGGACAAAAAAGGAACAGATTCAATAGAAATTCAAAAGTCAGAATTCAAGAAGAGTATCGTCTTCTTCATCAGTTCATCGGGTACGTTTTTCCTCTTTTCTTTTTCTTCTTCTTCTTAGAGTTCAATAAATCTTGCATGCAATTATTTGCTTCATATACACATCTAGAAATTATAAATTTTATAAATGTTTTGATTTATATAATTAACACACACGATTTCATCCAATCACTTGTATAAACTCTAAAACTAGATAAAGATGATTTTGTAAAAATTGAGAGTAGCGAAGAGGAAGATGAGAAAATTAGATATGATGATAATTCCATTAACGATGCTAGTAATAGTGATGATAGTGCAGATTATTAGGCTTTTTTTTTTAGTTTAAACTGCTTTTTTTTTTCCATTGCAAAGGAAATGATTTCTAACTTCTGTAATGCTTTTTATTTCGCTAAACATCTTCTTTCTTTAGGTAAATTATATCTCAATATGCTAATGATATATCATATTTACTATATGCTCCAACTTTTGCTTTTTTTATTTTTGTATTATTTTATAATTCTTTTATTTAGATTTTTTGTTTTTTGTGAGGCTTACGCCTCAAGGCTTACGCCTCACCTCATAAAGAAAAACCGTTTCAATACTTAGTTTCACATTTTTAAACCTTGATTCCAATAGCCGGCTTTTCCTTCATTTTTTATTCAATTTTTTAATGATTGATAATGTCCCTTTGAAATCAAAGAATATTGAAAAAGTACCTTCCCCCTTTTCCAAAATCCATGAATTTAATTCCACGCCTTATGACAAAAATGGAGTCAGTGTGGTGTGGCGTAAAGTGAAGATTGGAGTAGAGAAAATTCCCCTTTCCTAAAGCTTATCATGAAGATATCGTTAGAAGCCTCTTGCTTGCTATGCTGATTTTAATTTAATTTCTTCTTTTTTTTTTTTTTCATAACCTGTTATTGGTTATATTATCAAATTTTGCAACATACTTAATCAGAGTACTTACTGTTATCATAAATTTGAACCTTCTATCACTATAATTTAAATAATAAGCTTTAGAATAACTAATCTCTGAATTTATTTTCCAATGATTTAGAAATATTTGAATTTAGGAATATCGATTTTGGTACTGTTATTTAATTCATTAATAATTAACTTGTTTTGACATTATAGCCCCCACATACTATCAAAATAAGGAATATTTTTCACTTTGAAAAGGTAACTTATTAACTCAATGCATCTGACTTACTGCAAAATTGGGTTCACAGTTTTAAACCTGGCAATATTCATACCGTATTTCCTAATTTCATCTTCTGTTTCTTTGGATTGAGCGGAATAATGTAAAGCCTAAACATCAAGCTACGGACTTTGGCCATCCTATTTGGAGGATAGAATTGATAGCATTGTCCTATGCTTTCCAAAGCCAGGTTATACTCTTGGGGGAACATCATAAAGGACATTCACATTGCACATGACAAGAGCATCAATTTCCTGAAGACGACCCCTCCATAGAGATGTGATCTCTCAAACTTAACACTGATGAATGCAAAAACAGTAATCCACGTCTCGGATCCAGAGGAGTTCTACGAGATAGTGAAGGTAAATCAGTATTGCTTTCTTTGAGCCTTTTGGACAGTGAACCAATTTGGAAACGGAATCGAGAGCACTTATGCAAGAACTTAAAATCTGCCACAGGTCAGGCTTAAAGAAGGTCTAGATTGAATTAGACTCCATGTTAGCAATAAAATTTGCCACCACCAGTAGGCACTGGCCTCAGAATATAAAATCTGCAGTAGAAGAAATTAAATGTCTTGTGCATTTAGTTTGCACAAGTTTCACATATTTATCAAGAGGGTAATGCAGTGGTTGATTCTGTGCTCATGAAGTGATTAATAGTGATGAAATCACAATTTTACTGCGTAAGAATGTGAAGTGATATCTTCTTACGTTGTTGAGGTTGGACCAATTACAGCTCCCCTACGTTCAGAAGTAGAATGGTAATGAATCATAAAAAAATAAAAAATAAAAAATATTGATTTCCATGAACTCTTGTAATATAAGTAGTGCCTCATTTTTTTCGCATTGCTCCTCATCCTCAGTTTGTAAGATGGGAGGTAAAGTTCGAGGTTGGATCCCCCTCCCTTGCGTGTTTTTTATTATTGATATATGGCTAGGGTTTGGCCAAATCCCCCACCTTGGCACAGATGGAGTTTGGCAATAAACAAAGTAACTTATAAACTTAGGCGAGCATATCCAAACTAAAAGTTACAAATGAATTTGACTGACTTATAAGCTTAAGCAAATTTCAACTTAGTGCCACTTCTTACACAGTTATCTATTTATTTATATAGCCCCTATTTGAGCCACATTAAAATTTTCATTTTCATT